ACAACTATAATTGTATGACTTTCTGGGATAATGGTTTAAACAAAAGTAAATAGTAAAAAAAAAAAAAAAGAACTCCCCCCCCCCTTTAAAAAAAGGATTGGAAAGCTTAGCTGTGTTTAGTGCCCATTGATGAAAGCAGTGTTCTCTGATCCATGCTGCTATTGTTGGTTTTAGTTTAGCTCCGTCTCAATCAATATCTAACAGGGCATGATTTAATAAGGTTTTATAATCTCCAAAAATGAGGGGGGGTAGGGTGGTTGTGGTATTGTCATTCATCAAAGGGGGCCTTTCAGGTTTCTTTGCTTTCACCTGCTGGGACCCATTTGGTCTCTTTCAAAGAGAATGCAATGACAAAATGAATGAGAAATGCTAGAATAAGAGTCCCTTATTCTACCCAATAGTATAATCAATGGGTACTTGTAATCCCTATTGTACCTCACAGAGGTAGTTGTAAGACAATTAAATCTCGCTTCTCAGGCAAATGATTTTGGTAGTTAACCTGAAACAGCCAACAATATTGAAGAGAATGAATGCATTTGAAGCAATGATGTAATGGGATATTGCCTGACCAGAAAAGCATGCATGTGTGTTGACATGTGTGTATATACATATGTACGTTTATCTCCGTACTCCATGTCCACAGTATTCCTGATTCATAGTCCCCTAAATATTATATGGGTAACTGACAATAATTTTAAACAATTTCACAATTTTTTCTTTTAATTTCTATTTTAAATTAACATGAAAATATTCTTATTTTGTAGCATTATACACTCTAAACTGTAGTTTCATAAACAGAAAACATTTACATAGTTAACATCAGTTTGATGTGACAACCAATTTAGTTTTAATTTCATTTGCATCAGCTAAATTCAATTTCTCTTTCCCTTCTTATGCTCATTGCTTGAATGTCAAAAGGAACCATGTGGTCTTTTGAAGAGACACTCATTTCAACCTGCATTATTTGTCCACCTTCAGTTGTGTGGACTTGATATTTTATTTCCAGTATTGTCTATCAAGAATTCTTATGGATTACTCATTTTAAGAAAGAATAAAACTGTGACTGATGATAAAATTGGATAGCACATACAAATTCTAAAGATCTGTGAAGAAAATTATGCCTTGTGAAAATCCTGTGACTATTGATAAATGTTAGATGCAAATAAAGAGAGCAAAGAGATTGCTATATCAGATGCAAAAAGATGAATTTTAGTTAAGAATGATTAGTTAAGAATGATTTAAAATGCTAAATTCTAACAATTCAGAAATTGAAAGCTCCTTCCTTTATCATAATTTAAATATAGTCTTAATTTCTCTCTTGACTCATTTATGTTGAAAATTCCCATCTCCATTTTCCTTTGCCAACAATCTGTAAGAAACCTCAAATGGCTATTATTTACAGTAACTCTTAACTTATTCCCAAAACAAAACCTTGCATTTAATTATATGCAAACATATAATAAGTATATTTTTAACTCTGGAAGTACATATTTTCTTCTCTACCTAAGAGCTGCTGTTTATTTGTCTTTAATGAATAATTATTTGTTTTGGACATCTATAACCCAAATATATATTGACCCAGACACACAGACATCACAGGTGTGTTCCTGAACACAAGTGCATAAGTATTTTCATTATATTATGCAGACACATAGCTATTTTGTACATAAATAAAATAAGAACTTCATTGAAGTCTCTCCACATAATTCTTTCAGTAATCCTAAATTACTAAAAAGCAACTTTCAGGGAACTAGAAATGTTTCCTTACATGACTTCCAAGGCAGAAATATTTGGTACCAGAATTCTACATACTTGTAAATTATTTTTAAACCTTTTTATTTTGTTATGTTTCAATCATAGAGGAATAAAGAAATCCCCTAGAAAAATAAATTGACCTGAATAAAACGATGTATTCACTCATAATGCCGAGTTTAGCAAGGATTGAAGCACCTGACTCCTCTGGATACTTCCAAATGAGTCTGGCTAATTGGGGTAACTCAAGCCAATGGCCATTTGAAAGACTCGAGGTCAGGTGTTTTATTGCTGGGATAGTATTCAAAAAAATGACTGTCAGGGGTGAAAGAAGAATTATGTCAAGAGCATTCAGCATTACTGCCACTAAAGAGAGAGGAGGGGGAAAACATTGTGAAGAAAAACATGTCATTTTCTAAATGAGCTAGGGGAGGAGGATAGGGCAATAATGTGGCCTTCAGCTGTTGGTTTATTAAGTTTCCATTCCCATGATCCACATCTACGGAAAGCAGAAATAGTTTTACTTTTAATACAGTTGCACCCTAGTACTTTGCTTTCTTGTGGAGTAAAAAATAGCTGTGAAGAACGTGCAGTTGAGGTTTGTTCTTTGTGGTTGTTTGTTTCCCCATCTCCTATGCTATTTTCCTGGATCTATAGCAAATCTTAGCATTGTTGTCTGATTTGCCATGGAACAGTGAACATTGCTTTTCCTAGCCAAATCATCCAGTGTTAAGTGCTATGTGATACAGATCAATAGGGCATCTACAGCTGTACAAAAAGGGCAATGTTGTTTCTATTAACTACTTCGAAGGAAAGTGTGGCCTAGTGGTTAAAGGATTAAATTGGGTGTTGAGGTTTTTGATGTCTTGAATTTTAATTCTACTGAAGCCACTGGATTCTCAACAAAGTTGTTAGAAGTTTTTTTTTTTTGTTGTTGTTGTTGTTTTGTTTTGTTTTTTCCCCATTTTGATCCACAACAATACACTCATGGGTTATATACTTGGAGATATGCATATCATAGGATCATTCAACAAATGATAAAAATCTGGAGGACTAATAAAAAAGATTAGAAAACATCTGATGACATCAAAATTATGTTGCTTCAACTATTGCATCAGATTAATTGCTCATATTATTTGTCACATGTTGTTTCTATATTTCAGGCTATTCTCCCACTTCCTTTGAGCTCACATATATGAAGTTTCAGTCATATTGGGCAAGGGCTTCTTTCGGTCCTGGTTACCTGCATCTTCCTTCAGGAACTGGATACTTTTTGTTTTTCATGTGCCCCTTGTCAGTGGCATTTTAATGAACCATAATGTAGAAAACAATCTTGGAAACAGCGGTTGGGCTTTTTGTTGTCATTGCCAGCACCAGGTGCAAATGGCCACTCCCAAAGATTAGCAATGAACAACGCACGTTCCCCTTTTATTTCGTTTTGGGGCAGATGCTTGTGTAAGTGTGTGCATGTGTGGTTATATGTGCATGGGTGTGTACGTTAGGGAAAGAGAGAAAGAATGGTGGTACAAAATAAATGTTATATAAAATTGTATATTTTTAACTCAAGCTAACTTTGAAAGCAAGATAGGGCCTCATATCATATTTCCTGCTCAGAATTCTGGATTCCAATTGATCTGAATCCTTTCTTCCTTTCCTCTCTTTCTAATCTCTCTCCCTCCTCTCCATTTCATTTCTGAAGAATGTTACATGTTTTGTAAACAATTCACACAAATAGCAAATCAGAGGAGCAAATATTCACTCTTCTTGCTGTAATCAAGTAACAGAGACCCAATATTTATTTTATTTTAGTGTCTCCACTTTGGTTTTAGTATATTTTATTTTATTTTATATTTGTTAAGTATTGCATTCCACAGACAGAAAGTGTCCTCCTTTGTAGTTGGAGAAGAAAGAAAGGTTCTAAGCAGTGAGATTGCCTAGAGAAAGAGAGAAAGTGGTTCCCTTTGGCTTGTGGCCACTCAGCCTTGGCTACTATTGCACTGCTAGGGCAGTGCATTGTGGGAAGACACTTTGTGAAAACATTTGGGCGTCTAGAATTAATACATTGATAAAGTAGATGATTTTTAGGATAGCTGACTTAAGCTTCTGTTACAGAATTAAATGAAATAATTAACAAATAAAAGGACTTCTTCCCTAAATCAATGGTAGATTTTTTTTTTACCACTACTTCTTTATTTTGAAAATTAAGATGATATAAATTTTAGTTACCTGTGACCCATATGCTTTCTATGGCCTTCTTTAAAATCTTATTTTCCAAATTTAATATTTTTATTTAAAAAATATAATTCAAATTTATGATTTCCCAAAGTAAAAATAAAAAAGGTAATTTTGTGTATTTTTAAAGAAGTATATTTATCTTATTAACAGTTTCCAAATTATTGGTACTTCTCTGTGCAGTTTTTCTTAAAGATTTATGATGACTTCTTAGAATCTTCATCACAGCCTAAAATAAAAGTTTATAGGATATGAGAAGCTTAGGAGCTTATTTCTCTGTAATCATGACTCTGCTGTTTCAATGTGATACTTATTGTCATAGGAGGGACTGATAGTCAATTCTCTGAGTGCGTAACTGTGAAATTATTTATATTCAATTAATTGCTTGGTCAAATAGGCCAACCAATAATAAAGGAAAAACTTCTAAGAAAATCAAAATAAAACAAATGAGAAAAAAACCCAATTTGTTGTTTAAGTGAGATTCTGATGAACAGATTTTCTTTTATATATTATAAATACTGACATTACAGAAAACTAATTGACAAATGAGAATGCAATTCATTATTGATCATTTTAAGGACTAGTTAAGTCTTTTTAATGTGGCTACAAATATAATTTAAATTTGAACTTTTTTACTCAATCTAGAACATCTACAGTTTTTCCCTTTTTTTCTCTTGTCTAAATGCCAAAATTAAACATTGGAAATTTTATCAAATTCCTTGACTATGTGAAGACAAAAAGCACAAAATAAAATATTAGTCTGTGTCACTTGCATCACCCTTCAAACATGAAAACTTGGAAATATCTGTTTTCCATTTTATGGAATAGTTTAGTCATTCATTCACATGGGAATTCAAATCTTTTAAAAAGAATTTTTTAAAAAAAGTTTTTATTAAAATAATTGAACAAAATCCATTATGGAAGCAATATTTTTCTCAAAGTAATAAGTATATATATATATATATATATATATATATATATATATATATATACACACACACACACACACACACACACACACATATATATTTTTTCAAGAGATCAAACAGAACTTAGTGGGATTTCTACAGCACATATACACATACACTTCCAGGTGGATTTTCAAACATAAAGTGATTTTATGTTCCACTGCTGCTAAATAGTTATATGCCACATAAAAATGTAGTGGTCTTTCAAAACCAGCCAAAATCACACTTCAAAAAATTGTTTTAGAGTATTATAGTACTACCCACTTTAAAATTATTAAAGCATTGGTCTTGTTTTGCGTCCCTGATGATTAATTGACTAATGTTACTATGAATTACATAAAATGTCTAACGGAAGGAAACTCAATTGTGCACACATAAGGCTTCTATTTCACCATCTATCATCTATCTATCCTTCTCTCTGTTTTATAGCAATGCAGAATGTAACAATAATCATGGTGTTTGGGGAATTATACTCAAAGTGAAGATTTGAATGATATCAAACATTAGAGCCAATTAAAACATAGCTCATATGACTCATCCCATCTATTCATATGACAAATTAACTTATGTTCTCATAAACCAGAACTGCACAGGGTAAAAACAAAATGTAACACTGCTAACACTGCCTATGAAGCAAGTTTTTCCAATTTGCCCTTTGATTCTCTAATATTTGTATTTTAAAGAGGTATGATTACATTATTGAATCCTTGTTTTACTAAATGTTTTAACTGGATGTCCTGATAAAATCTCTGGTTTTCACAAGTTTATAGAAATCAGATCTAAGAAAATACTTTAAAAATGATATATCTTACTCTGAGACACTATACAAGGAAAAAAAATTTATAAGGGTGGATGAAGTGAAAAAATGCTTTTAGAAATCTTTCAGATTTTGAACTGGTATGATATTATATCAAAACTGTAAAACCCATTTTATGTATAAACATAGCTATATCAGTAGCACATGAAATAAATTATGCACTTCAGTTTGCCAATGTGTAATACCGTTTTTGATCATATGTAAATTTGCTATAAGAGACTTAAAAAGGAATCTTTAAAAATATACCCAACTACAACAGATTTGTCATTCATGCACTGCTGAGCATAGAGGCCTAATTTTACCTTTTTGCCATTATTTTAAATTAAGGCACTTATCCAAAAGATCAAAACAGCTTTTTACAATGGACATTTTGTGAAGGCAGATAGCGATAATGTCTGGAGGAATATGGTAATTATTCCTGTTGTGGAGGTGCAGGGAGATATGTGCCTTGTGCATATGCTGAGAACTAGAAATACACCAAATAGAAAAGTATTTCTCAAAGTTTGGGGGTTAGATGAGAAGATGCCTAGTGATGAGGCAGAAACATTAAATAAAGCAAAAAAAAAAAAGTTGCATTTGAAAAGAACAAAGAAATTTCCTTTTGCTTTGCTAGTAAAGGATATTAAAAGGGGACAACCTCCTTTCTGACAGCAGTTTTAAATCTAGCTTTTCATATTACAGTCCTTAATGAGGGACCCCACAATATCAGATGAAGAAAAACAAAGAGAATTTTTGATGAAAAAAAATCAAGAAAAAGAGAGATGACTGAGAATATGCAAACTTTGTCTGCAGTTGTTTGAGCACAGGCATAATGCTGAAGGGACTTTCCCCTCTAACTACCTATTAAGGAGGGCTGCATAACAAATAGCAGACTATCCCCGAAAGAGCTGAAAGGTAAAGTTCTCAGGAAGCCCCAGTAAATACTGAAATGATTTTTACTATTCCAAATTTAATTCGACATTTTCTGAGTGTGTGCATGGGGAGGGCAGAATACCCCCTTTGTGTCCTGAAAAGTGTCATTTTTTTTTTTTTCCTCTGAAAGAAAATGCATCTTACTTGACTAAACACTGAGCTCTCAGCAGGAGGATAAACGCCTCGGTTGCACATTGCACTGTAGCTGATCAGGTCCAGTACAGTGCTTTCATGCCATCTAGTGGCCTTGTGAGAAGTCTCCAGAAGACTGTTCTCAATGAGCTGTTCCTGTTTCCATTTACACAGTGTCTGTAAAGCAAAGGGAAGAGAGAAATTGCCGTTATTATTAAAAGAATTCAGGCACATAGGTGCTATTTTGCTTGGAAAATACAAATATTTCAGGTTAAAATATTGCACCAGTTTAAATAACCGAGCTTTAAATCTCAGGCCATTTTATTTTGGATGGAATTAGTCCTTTCCCTTCTCTTTCCTTTTCTTCCCTCTCTTTCCCATTTCTCTATTGCTTTTCTACTTCTCTCTCCCTTTTCCTTATCTATTTTCCATCCTACTACTTCTTTTTAAAAATCCTGGTTTGGTTTTCAGTTTCTCAAAAACTCAACGCATTTCTTTTGCTGTGTCTGTAAGGCTTTCTTTTTCAATAATATATACCCTCAACACTCTAATGTTTAGGTAGCAAGAGGTGATAAAGTCAAAGAATCATCATCTTTTTCCTTCTTGTAAATACCCAGCACCCCAAATGGTTACATCCTCTGACACTCTTGCCAACCCTCGGATGTGCTGTTCTGCAGGCGGCATTGGTAGCACCAAACTGCAAAATGTTTATAAGCTATATTTCTGTCACTCTTCAAGAGTACAGGTTTCCATTGTCGTCTCTGCAAAATGACATTATACACACTATTTATGTGTATTTGAACTTTCTTTCACAAATCAGCTTCAACTAGTATCAAGTCCAATTCACTAAAATCACAGATTTCATTCTTTCCCTATTTGAGAGATTAACTTCATAGGCATAGGAATTCTTTTTGATACGATTAATTCTCATGTTTTAATATTACATTTATTGTATCTACAAACTGGAACCATTCTACATTGACACTATAGATTTCTTTTTGGATAATGTGAAAAAAATAGATTTATAATGTTTTTACTAAGATGCCTTTAAATGAGACAAAGAAGCTGATTTCTAAATATATATAACAAGCATATTTGTAATTTTAGTCATAGACTAGTATTAAAATCTTTAAGTTTCCAAAAAAAGGAGGCTGTTGGTGGATAAAGCTATAGTGTTGTATAAGTAAAAGAGCAATTAGAAGGCCTCATGGCACAAGAATCTTGGAGTTCTTATGGTGGTTGGAGATCAAAAAGAAGTACAAGTTGTGACTTTTGCATTGTATTCAAAGGCTTATAAATAAATTAAAATCTTTATTTAAAAGGATTTAGTAAGTAAATTCAGTATTAGAAGAGGTGTGAAAACTTTTTGAAGTAATATGAAACTGGAAAATAATGTTATGGGTTATTTTTCTTGCATTTGAAATATAGTTTAAAATGTTCACTTTCAAAGATTCAATTATGAGCAAACAAATTGTTAAAAAGTGAATTTAACATTTGTCTAATGGGTATGATATCTTTGTCTTAGTTGTATTCTTTTTGAATATTTATGTTTTCACCATTTAACTTAGACAGTGAGCAGATATTTTAATGTAAGTGTGTTCTTTTAAGTGTGGAACCCATAAAATGTTCTTTAATTTTTCTGCTCTGTACCAAATTACTATAAATTTGCTAAAAGAGAGGCCAACTCTAAATTTTAACTTTTAAGACAAGTGTGGGGGAAAATTTATATCACACAAAATGCTGAATATTTTCCTTCAATTTTTCCTTTTTGGATGGCAATATGACAATATTAACCAAGAAATATTTGCTAATTTTACCTATGTCTACATATTCTATTAATTCACCTGGTTGGTGATTTTTGAACTGATTTTTAAAAATTATTTTCTCACATGAACTGGTATTTTAAAATTGTATTCACTGCTTACATTTTCTAATAATTATTGCATATGTCCATGAGTTTTATTTCCACATGTGAAAATACTTCTAAAATTCTATAAAATATATCTATATAATATCTGCACAATTTAATGTAAGCAAATTTCAAATCTAACAATTTGTCTTCAATCTTCAGTGTCAATAGTTTTGAGAACTATAGATAGCAAAGCTGCTGAAAATAATATTTAAAAAAAACTTTTAAAAGCTAGAAACTTCTTTGTTGAGTAGCATAGAATAAGAGTGATTTTCTATATTTTCTCCAAGTAGGATCACAGACAGAAAGGAAAAATAGATTTCCAAAGTGTTTTGAATAATGTATTTCAGTAAAATGCTACTTTTCTGATAAAGATAAATTCAGTACAACTATACATATCCATTGTGTTAAAGAAAAAGAAAAAAAATCTTGGGGAGGTTCATTTCAGAGGAAAAAGCATATGGGCATCACACACATTGCTGTCTGAGAATAGTGCTGAATTTTGATTAGAACAAGAAGCTATAATTGGAGTGATAATCTTTTACACTGTTTTTAATTGTAATCAGTGCAGATGTTTGTAGCTTTATGATAGGAAAAATAGTGCTTGGGAGCACATATAGTTGACAATTTGGGGGACCACAGACTGCTCAACTTGGCTCATTTTAAAAGACGAATTTGATATTTAGAATTACTGAAAAGTAAGAAATCCACAAGTATTAAAAAGCAAATAAAAATCAACCATTTATGCCAAACTAAAATAAACATTTTTATCTTACCAAGCATAAGCCAGTAATTTCCTTTTTATTTTGTAACTTTTCTGCATGAAGTGAAATAAACTCCATCTATAATATTAGAGGAACCAAGATTTTGAATTATGATTAAAATACTTTTGATAAAGAATTATGATTAAGTATTAAGTATTAATTTTACTAAGGACTTTATAATTTATGCCTGGTTTCTTCAAAGATAATATGGCTCATTCTTTAGGTGTTAGAATTAAATATAGATGAAAACAATTCTATGCAAACATTACACTTTGCATCTTTCTTTATGCCTAGTTTTACCCTAGGATTAGTTCACATGGAAATAGAAAGAGAGAGGTAAATAGATAGATAGATAGATAGATAGATAGATAGATAGATAGATAGATAGAGACACTGTTAACATGGATACAGATGTCTTATTTTTTTAAAAAAAATGTATTCAAGACTTCTTAATGAAATTAATTGACTTTGGTATTTATATTTTATACCACGGGAGGGTCTTTCTATATTTTCTGGAGGAATGATTTGCAATCTCATAAACACAAATCAAGGGGGGGTGTGCTTTCCTCCCTTTCATGTGTAGGAGTGTGTTTGGTGTATAAAAATCTCCTAATAAATGTCCTTGGCTATGTGTTCTCCACCTAATGCTGCACTTAGAGGCAGACATTCTGGATAGTGGGTTTCTTTCCTTCACGTTCACTGGGCTGTATTCCTTTTGTAGGCTGCGTGGCAAGGCTTTAGTAATACCTCATTCTGTCTGACTCTTAAGTGAAGCAGAGGGTGGAAAATCATGCCTCATGCAGAAGCATCTGCTGTATTTAAAACAATACATGTGTTCAAAACTCAGAAAGGCATTCTGAATCACAGTGAGGCTTAGAAATTAGTAGATTAATTTTCCACAAGAGTCCTAGGGGAAATTGTCTTCTTTTTCCCCTTTGTATCAAAAACACAGTAATTTAAGCTATTATAAACATTTGATTATAATTTGTAACACGAGTGTATATATGTTGTAGCTAAGACTCTCAACTTGTTAACATCTAAATTATTTAAAAATTTTACAAAGGAATTTAAAATGTTATATGACTGATAATGATGATTTTAATATAACTGCTATATAATGTCACCTATCATGATGTACATTTTATTATTGCTGATCTTTAGGATATACTAGAAAAAAATAGGAGACTAAAAATTTGTGGACAACTTGCTCATAATCACTTAGAGAATTTGGATCACTTGCCCATGGTCACCAGGCTATCAAATGGTGACATAAATTCAAATCCATGTCTGCTTTATTCACCCATGCATCATGTCTCCATGCCATGATGATTGCTAATACAAGTCAAAAACTATCCTATATTCTTCACATATATCATTTGTTTATAGAATCTCTCACGTGTCCTAAATGCTTCTTGAGTTGAGCTGCACATTAATTTGTTAGTAGTAAGTATGCTTACAGTAGTCACTCTTTAACAAAAACAGACATAGCACTCTAATCAGATATGTCAATAATTAAAACAATTTTCTTGGGGTAAAGCCAAGGGTCATAATGCTTACAAACTAGATTTCATACAGCATTAAATCAAAATCTAATAGATAAATTTGATAATTATCCTTTTGGAATATTTTGTATAATTATTCCATTTTATCAATTGTGGGATAGTGTCGTTTTCCCTTGTTCATATAGTATGTCATTTATGTACTTCACTTAGAGATTCTTGAACTTGTCTGTTCTTCTTACTACTTTAAACATAAGACACAGTGGACCTCACAGGGACTTACCTTTCACTTGCCAAGCCTCAGACTGTTTACAAAGTCCTATACAACGGGTATACTCACCTCCAGGGACTGGGGGGTGGCTAGCCTCACTTGAATGGATTTCTCTGTGTCTTGGAAGTGCTTTGCATTCATTTCCACCACATTGAGTTGTACAATAAACTTGTTATCTGACTTCATATATATGCTTGGCTTCTTAAATCATATCCAAAGTCTTTAAAGTAGAAGCAATTTTCATTTCTTCACATTAATATCCATTCAAGGCAGCTGGTGGATTGCTCCAAAGAAGAGCTACCCTGTTCAAGGGTTAAGATTTAGCCAAGTGAACAAATGGCAGCTCATCAAGTCTATTTCCCAGTCTTAGCATAAGAATTACTACTCTCTATTCCATCATAAATCAGTATGACATTGTTAATTAACATGAGGTCAATGGGATATTATTTGTTTAACATTTTCTGGGTTGGTGCTGAGTCTGATAACTTTTCTCTAGGCACAGTTCTAAATACATCTGGAAATTTTTACTTAATCTTAACTACAGTTATGGATGAATACATATGAGGAACAGTAAATAGTTTTGTTGAAGCTACAATACATTGTAACTATTTCTCCATCTACCTAACATTTTTAATAGAATGTCTAAGAGGAATGTTCTTAATTCGGTTGCATGGATTATGAATGAATGAATTTAAGGCTTCTTTGAAACAGTATATTTGGGAACTAATTCTGTATATACCTATACATTACATGGGTTCAATAAGTGGGCATGGATCCTTTTGTCCACAGTAACAACTAGAAGCATCTAGGCCAGGTCTTATCCTTACTTGAGCTTTGTTGATCCTACCTACTTTTCAAATTTTTTTTTTCCTAAATCAAAAACTAGGGTGTTTCATATTTTCAAGAAATCTTGCTTATCATGAAGAGTTTTGTAACACTTAGTCATCTTTCTTGCAGGGTAGACTTGTCTGGAACTGACCAACAGCTATTCTGCTTAGATAGGGCAGACTTTCTCGAATTTGCCCCAATTTATACTTAGATTTCCACCAAACCCACCTCAAGCATTCATTATCTGCCTTCCATCTGTAAGCATTTAAGTGATTCCTGATTTAGTCTAAGCCCTGCATTTTAAACTATTAAAAGGAAAGCTGAATCATTTATAGTTATGCACCTAAACCCTGGGTGTTATCCACTGAGTGATTAGATGATTCGAAGTAAGTTACTTTTAGACATTTCAAAAGGATTTTATAAGATAATAAAAGCATTACATTATAAATTCACCCATACATATGTGCATAATATAATTACTTAGATCGGCTGTAACATGATTTATTATACAAAATATCTTCCATATCACACTTTCCTAAAGGGTGGATAATAAAATGGGTAATATGTGTTTTCATTAGCTACATAAGACATAAAGCATTCTGTGTATATAAGAGGAAAAAACATAAAATGTTTCCACCTAGGTAATTCTGCTAAGCTGAGAGAATTTTTTTTTTTCTTTCAAGCATAGAGGCAGAACTCTTTCTTTCTTGCTGTCTTTCTGCCCATTGGTGCTAGAATATCTGATGAGGGAAGGTTAGCCCCTTAGAAATGGAGCAATCTGACAGTACTCGAAGCACTAGAAATTTGTACTGTTTCACATGGCCCCAGGAAGGATGAATAGAAACCAAAGAATTTACTGCTCCCCCAAACTGTATCATAACCTGAATCCTTAGAATTTGCTTTAACCTACTTTGAGAAAAGTTCTGACTCTGAAATCCGGGAGAAAGTCTTCACTAAATAGGTGCTTTTGTAAAAAATGAACTAACCCAATAGTGCTGAAATTTATTTTAAGAGAAAAAATTAAAATTGCTATGTTTTGTAATTTTTTTTATCATTCCTAACAGAATATTGCATAGGTGAAAAAGAATGCTTCTCCAAAACGTGCCCCCCTCCCCTGCCTCGTTCTCTCTTTCTGGGCAGTTTCTTGTTATCTGTCAGACTTACCCCAGGCAAATAGAAAACATAGAAATGCAGTTTCAATAGGGTAGCAATAGCTCATAAGCCCACCTGCCACCATCCACAGGAGCTTTTATCAAGACATAATAGAATACTAGAGAACTAATTATAGTATCATTTTTCAAACATGACACTCTCTAGAAGTTCATGTTAATTTATTCCTTCAATAAGTAGTTTCTGAATGTAAACTTGATGAAAGGCACTGATCTGTGTGCTGAAGATGGTGGAACAAAAATGCAAGATCAAATCCTGCCCTCCAGTGGCTTACAGTCCAATTAGAGAAATGCAAAATTGTGAATGAACAACATAAGGGATGTAATTGAATGAATGCTATGAATGTTACAGTACCAAAACAGAAGAGCTACATTATAGGAGCTGAGTTCAACCTTAGAGAATGGGAACAAAAGAGTATTTTGAAAAAACCTTGAGATCAGAAGCATGCTTTATTCATTTGACAGTGAAGAACCCCAGCTATTTACAGAAGAAACTTTGTGTTGTCAAGAAATACATTAAGAAGACAGGAGGGAACTTTAAGGTCATGTAGGTCAAGCTACCTGGGTTTCAGTTCTGGAGCTATCACTTACTAGCTGTGTACATTTGGATAGATAATGTCACCTATGAAGCCTCAACAATGCATGTGCAAAATTGGACTATAATTATAATAGAACTGATTTTACAGATTCTTTTGGGAGTGAGTTCATTGACATTAAGCACTTAGCACAGTTCTTGGCACATTATTGTCACTCGTAAATGTCAGCTTCTTTCAGTAGAGGTAGTCGAGGATCCTGTATTAGATGCATTTCAGTGCCAAAATGAGAAATTTAAATTTGACTCTCTAAGTAAAACTGCAAGCCATCAGTGTTTTCAGTTGTGTTTTCAATGGGTTAGAGATATGATACATGGTTTCATGACTCATAGAATAGTAACATAATGCTGTAGAGGATGAATCTAAGGAGACAAGAGGGAGGGAAGGCAGCTGGGAGGTTCTGGCATAGTTAGGGTGTGAAGCACTGATGATCTGTATGCAGAAATTTTAAAGGGGAAAAAAAAGAAACACTGGAAGGCTGTAATTAATAAGCTACAGGATGAGAACTTCTTAGTGTATCTGACCAAAGTTATAGATCTTGTTGCAAATATACAAACAAAAAAAAATCTGTATGTGATTTTAGGGGATTCTGGAAAACTTCCCTTGGACCCCATAAGAAAGAAAATGGAGAGAATAAGTCCACTATCATGAAGAAGTCCAATAATAAACAGCACAATGATAAAGTGAATATATCATATTGCATACATAATATTGCTATTTTGAACTTAGTAATTTGTAAACTGTTTTTCAATTTTAGTTTGTCCCTTAAAATACTGACATGTTTTTGTATCTCAATTCATAGTAATCATATTTCCTTTCATCCTTAATTTTTCTCTGGAAACCCCTACTTCATTGAACTGATCTGTGATGTGACACTTTCATGCTCAGTTGTTAAGTACAAGATGGCATCTTGTGCTCCACACTGCCAGACAATGCTCTTCTCTCCAGTATTAAAAATTGACATCAGTGTCTTTTTTATTTGAATTTAAAAATTGGGTAACTCAGTCCCTAGCACACTGTTTAAAATTATTTTTTTTTATTTTTAAAATTTAAAGTATGTCTATGTTGGAACTTCTCCTCTCTGTTTTTTTGCACCAGTTAAATCTGAAGACAGTGGAGAGGGATATGAAGAGTCTGGGGTGTCAGTCTCATGTTTCACTTACCACAGATTACCCTATCGCCCACTTATTCCAATGCCTGGCATCATAAGGAAGCTAGCTAATAGCAGAAGCATGCCAAATTGCAGTTTCCCACATTCTTTCTATTAAAGAAGGCAGAGAACTACAAGCAGAGGATATGCATTCTCTTCAGATCAACCATCTAATTCCCAGTAGTCACTCCAAATGCCTGGCTTCAGGTCCCTTGTTATTTCTTTTATGTTCAAGTAATCTCCTTCAGACTTTATTTTGTGGCAGATACCAAGAATAAATTGTGTCTCAATTAAAAGTATTCATGTATCACAGAGATATGAACATAAGTTTTTACTAATAATGCATCCATTTTCTTTCTGTCAGATGGATATTTTGGGAAATCTCAAGCAACATTTAATCAATATTTATCTATCTTTCACTTTTGATCCTGCAGGCCAACAGTCTACTTCTATTATTTAGGCCATATCTAACATAGTACGGGACCTACTGTTTGGAAAACTAATTAATCAAATTTTATCACACAGGGTAAAGTGAAGTTGAAAATAACCCCAAATAGTTCCATTTTCATGATTATTAATGATATGAATGTACCCTTAAAGTTGTAGCAATTATTACAAATTTAATTCTTCTAAAAATAAGTAGGCATTGGCATTAGAAGAGGATCTTTTCAGTTTTTTTTTTTTTTTTTTTTTGCTTTGTTGTTGTGGTTTTGTTTTGTTTTGCAGTGCTGGAGATTGAACTCAGTACCCAGCACATGATAGGCATGTGCTCTTTCCCTGAGCTACATCTCCAACCCTTTTTTCAATATTTGAGAATTTCAGGAAGTCCTCTTCTTATCACTAGGAAGATGTGGTTGTAACTCGATATATTGATTTTATATGATGGCAAATATACTATAATAGAATTTATCTATGATTTGGAGTCATACTAACAGCTTCCTCAATTTATATATAAAATCTAATTGGAATAGTTATGAAAATATTTTTGTGGATTTAATTTTTTTCAAATAGTGATTGATATATACTCATATGGGTTTAAAGATAGTAACTTAAATCAATTTAGTTTAGAAATTAAATTTTAGAGCTTAAATTTATAAATAACCATTGAATTTAAGAAAGAATAAGACCATTTCTTTGTCTTACAGCCCTAAGAGAAATGAAATCTTTAAGCATGCTCAGTTTGACATAATGGATTCTTCCTGATTTAGAAGCCTGAGGATTAATGTTATTGATTATATATTCTATCTCTTGGCATCTTTGAGGTCATTTTCTATTCTATAAAATGGGAATTAAAATACTTTCTTTATTTTCAGGGTGATTATAAGGATCAAAGGAAATAAAAGGTGAAAACACAGGAATAAGAAATTATTAGTCTTAGGTGACAGAAAGTTATTTAAAGAGTACATTAACACAATCTCAATTATTGAGTTTTCCCCCAGCAATGGTCGCTTTTCCCTTTGCTGTCCATTGAAAGTCTCTGCTCTCTTTCCCTCTTGATAAAACCTTGGAACTGTATTTCATAAAAGGGTAAAACTAGAAAGAATCTTATGTCAAACAGCAAG